CAAAGCAATCGCAAGTGGAGAAATTCCAAGCGAAATGGAAGCTGCCAGCATTTTATCACATTGACACGCCACGCCCACCACCGCCCTTTTCAGAGGGCAGGGGGTGTGGCACAAAGCCACAGTGTTGCGGTTATGCAATAAAATGTTGCATTTTGCTTTCCGTTTGCCAACCAGAGAGCCTCGACCAGAATGGCCCAGTATCCCGAATCCCGAGTCCGCCTTGTTGCATCCTCCGTATGTGCAACAACTTAACTGCCAACCGCTAGGTAACTCTTACTATTACTGCTACTGTTTCAACTGCACTGCGAGAAATAACTACCTGGTTTTTAGATTTAATTGAGCCTAAAATATACCTCTACCCAAAACTGTTGGATGTTGGCCACTTGTTTAAACAAGGGCATATAAAAAAAAAAATAATATAAAATCAAAAATATAACACAAATCCCGAAAATAATACAAAAAAATTTCCAAGCCTACCAACCTACAAATTTTTTTTTTCAAAACATAAAAAAAAACATTTTTACTTTCTAAAAATATTGATTTCCCTTTGAATAACACATAAAGAAAAAATATATTTTATAATGCCACAAACCTACAACAAGATTAAAAAAAATTTAGTTTATGTCTTGTGAATTCTGATGAACCTTATGATATTATTTTTTCAATGTACCTAACTTGGATAAAGAACAAAAACGTAAATGCTCTAGAAAAATCCTTAATTATTTAAAAAAAATTTCTGAGTGCACTGCAACTTAAGCTGGGCAATTTGTTGCAAGTCAGTTGTGGGTGCCGGGGATTCGAGTAAGCTCGTGGCTCCGTTTACACCTCTCCCTGGACATTTTAAATGCGCACAGCTGGCGGGATTACCGGGCGGAATTTGCAAATGTAAACGCAGCGAATTAGTCGCGCCCCGAACATTCCGAACAGCCCTCGGAAAAGGGCATTGGATGGAATGGGTAGGGGTACAGGAACAATATCACCACCACCCTCGCGCCATTGAGAACACACCCCCGAGGGGGAATAGTAAACATATGAAAATCACACACAAATAAATGTAATAAACAAAGCAGCATCTCAATGAGGGAGAGAGTCCACGTAGAGTCCATCCCGAAATGGACATATCAGGGGCGGGGGCAGGGGACAAGGACAGCCCATCGATGGCATGCCCCTTGGCTTCCCGGTTTTCCCCGCCCCCGATTTTCCATTGCCGGCGATTGCAGCCTGCCAAAAAATTAACAGATGTCTCGCATTAGATGCGCTTCACTCGACCCCAGAGACCCGCGAGCGGCGAGCCAATGAGGCGATTTAAGTCACAGTGGGTCAAGGCAGACTTTACTGGGAACAGATCATTTATTAAAAAAAAATATCATATTCTGATTATATTATTATTAAATGACACACCTTTCTTTTAAGTCAGTTCTTAACAACAGTTAAGAACTCCCTGTCTTCGCAATCTTTATAAGCTGCAGGAACATGTCTGAACATGCTTAAAATCTGTGCAAATATTTCGGATGAATATCGAAGCTATGAATATGGATTTAATAATCATATTATTTTTATGAGCTGTACTAAATCACATAGAGCTCAATTATTTAATTTGTAATCAATTTTTTTTAAAGAGACCAAATGTTTGGTCTAAAAAAAAAATGTCCTGAAATGTGACAACATTTTAATATAAGAATTAAATAAATATTTTCGGTAGACATACATATTTTTTAAATAAATTTTTTTTTTGGCCGAATTAACATTTTGATAATTTAATTACAAATTTTTTCTTAACTTCCAAATGCTTGGATTAAAAAAAAAATGTTCATGATATGTGATAATATTTTAATGAGTTTAAAGATACAAGACCTTTAGTAAGTACAGCACCTTGATAAAATTATTTAATTTGTAATCTAGTTTTAAAATTGACATTGAACCACTGTGCAGGTGAGCCGGGGAATCGGGAGCAATTTTTGGGCAAACGGAATCGAGACAAATCGCCAACGAATAAAGCAAATCGGAATAAAGCATTTTGGGTGGGGTGGAGTGGAACTGGAAGTGGGACCGCGAGATAAGCCACACGGCAGCAGGTAGCAAAATGTGTATTTTTCCTTTTTCAATATTTACTCTTTCCGCCAGATCCGTTATTTGGCCACACGATTAATTCCCTTACAAATGGGGATCTTTAAACTTATGTACACTATAGCATTACACTATATTATCAGAAATTAGTGACGTTTATATCAAGAGATGAAGTGAAACCAACCCATGTAACTAATAAGTATTATATATAATATAATATATAATAAGTATTATTATAATATATAATATACCATTCGAAGTTGGCATACATACGTACATAAGATGTAGAGCAAGGGTTTGTATTATCAATATATTATTCTTATTATACATATGATAATATATTATATACGTAAATCATATTATTTATAAGAGAGAGTAGTACATATCTTTTAAGTCAAAATTTGCTTATAAATCAAGTGAGTGGTATTCAATAATTCGGTGTCATAAACAAAACAGCACGTTTCCATACTATTTGCTGCTGTATTGTTTGTGTTCGTAAATCTTTTTGGACTTTGGGACTCGACTGGCTGGTCCTCCAGTGGCCAAGTGGTCAGCCGGAGGAGATTGTAAGTGCCGGAGAGGAACGGAGCTAGACAGATGGGATTTCTGTGGAAATGGGACAGGATAGAACAGGATAGGACATGATAGTACAGGACCGAACAGAAGAGGGACAGCCGGCGGCTGGAATTTTGCCAGACATAAATATTTTTTATCACTTTCCCAGCGCCCCCATCTTTCCATGGCCAACAACCCTTGTCCCCGCGCTGTTTATTTCGTTGCATTTGTAATGAAGTCCGGACTCGGGATTCCGGCGGAGACTAATTCAAATTTAAGCCATAGAAAATTAATTTTTCCGTCCCCCCCCCCCCAAAAAAAAACGTAAGCTTCGCGGGGTGGATGGATGGATGGTTGGAAAATCTGATGGAAACGCAGGAAAGTAGACGGACAACTTTCGGCTTATGCGGCTTAGTAAGCTTCAAGGTCGATTTAGGGCCGTTGGCCAGGGGTTAAAGAGTTTAGGCAAATTTTTGGCCAGCATCCAGGGCTCTTTGTTTACGCAGATTTACGGACATTACGGACAGAATCCCCGACATGATTACCCGCACTTGAATTTAATTTAAATATTTTAGTGGCCAACAATGACAAGTTGAAAAATAGGTTGGTTTTTGTTATAACTATCCAAAGAGACCCTGAACTTTAGTAACTAGTAAATGGCTAATACCCAGTTTTTCTATATTTTTTTCTCCCCCTAGCTAATCCTTTTCGCTTCAACTCGTTGGCCAATTTCATCGGCAATTGTCATGGGATTTTCTTTTTGCCATAAGCCATAAATTAGTGCCAACCGACGTTCCGTTGAGTCTTTAAGCTGACCTCTGACCCCCCCACTCACCCACCCACCTTCGGGCCTGGTCAGAGCTCCCCCTCCTTTGGTGGGCTTTTGATTAATTCTGGATGAGGACGACAACGTCGACTTCAATGGTCTACAAAAAGTTAATCGTTAGTAATTTATGGCTCTCTGGTGGGCGTGGTCGCAAAGGTAAGGCGATTTGAAAGTATGTTGAATATAGAATGGAACATCACAGGATGATGATGATACTGCTGATGATGATGATGGTATATATGGCAGATGGTAGATGGCATAAATCCCGATATGCTCACACATTCTTGGTGGAGACTAGACAATCGTCTCGAGCCATTCGAGGCATTCAACTGCGCCATTCCGAGTCTCGAATAAAACACCAAAAATGCAAAGAGAGGAATGTTGATGGCAATTTGGAGCGATGGAGGAGTTGGCATCGATGGCCAGTGCAAGGCCAAAGTACTCAAATGCAGGGGAACTGGAGTGGTGACAGTAGAGAAGGAGGGGTCCCCAATCACCATGCCCATCCCCATCACAATCACACAATGCTGGCAATTGAAAACGCCACTCGAATCGCCGTTCCAGCCCCCGGAACCCCCAACTTCCCCCTACTTTCCCTGCAATCCTATCCAGCAAATGCACTCAATTGCACTGTCCAGCGTGAGTGACCATGAAAAGACCTCTGCTCTTGACCGAGGGAAGCTCGAAAGATCAATATCAATATCAATGGACGATTCGGGTTCAATGAAAGAATAGTGGCTTTATCACTTGGACAAGCTATTCTCAAATTTATAAAGGGAACACTTAAAATAAACTTCCACCATTGATAAAATGTACACAACAATTATAGATAAAAGAGATTACTTGACTACAGTGTTCTTATAATATTAAAGTGTAACAACACTTGGTTAGATAAAAACAGCATACATATGTTTCAGATATTACTATCTCTAATCCGTTTTCAATTTCAACCATAAGTATTCAGTAAGATAAGACAACTTTAAACACAATTATAAATGTATTTTGGTATTTATCACAACCTTTACGTTGATTGGACTTAAATATATAGATAGCTTATCAGATGGCATTAATATTTTCTTCTAGAATATTATTAGATAGAAAACTAAATAGTTTTTTTGTTTCAAAACCATTCGCTTCAATTCAAATTTCTCAAAACTACAATGATGCCTCAAGATCTCAGCAGTTAACACTGCTATAAACCACATAAGATGATTAATAGCTGGCTATTTATTATTACAAATGTTTTGAAGTTAAGACCCCTTTTGTTTTTTGTTCTTTCTTAGATTTGACAACCTGTAGAAAATATCAAACCGAACAAAATCGCTAAAATCTCTTACAGATGTAAGTTTCAAAGTGTTATAATGTATGGTATTTATATATAATGATTTCATATGGTTTGAATAGATATGAAAACCCTATATCATAAGGTTGCCTTTTGTTAAAGACTTTTAAGATTTGACAACCAGGAAAATTTATCAATTATATGACATCAAATCGTATAAAAACCCCAAAAATTATATAATGGATGGTATAGATAAGAAGGGGTACTCACTCTTGCACTCGTTGGCATCGTTGTCGGTGGCCCTGCCCCAGGGGCGGTCAAAATAGAAGGGCTTGCAGCGTTCGCACTCGGGACCAGCGGTATTGTGTTTACAGGCGCAGGTCATGGCCAACTTGGCGCTCATCTGGGTGCTCCGTCCGAAGTGGGCGGCCAACGAGGGGGCGGCGGGGGACGTGTCCTCATCCTGGCCATCATCGGGATCCGTTCCTGATCCTGCTGCTGCTGCTCCTGCTCCCGTAGCCATGGTGGCCACACACTCGGAGGCATGACCATTGCACTTGCATCTGCCACCGACGGCGAAATCGGAGACGGCATAGTGCTGCGAAATAGGCAGGGTCACGGAGGAGGCGGCGGCCGAGGGGGCGGCTGTGCTGGCTGGGGGCGTGGTCTTTCCGGGCGGAGTGACCTTGGGCTGCGGGGGTGTGGTCACCGCCAGTTTGCTCTGATAGTGCTTCTCATAGGCACTGCCCTTGTGCTTTCCCTGTCGCTTGGCATTCGAGGACTCTCCATCACTGGCATAGTCCAGATGCAGATGATCATCATCCAGTTCCAGATGCTTCTTGGGCTCCTCGTACTCATCGTAACCCGTGTCGGCACTATCGTTGTCCTGCAGATTGTAGTCGTACTCATCCTGCTCCCCGTCCATCTCCAGATCCGCTTCATCATCCTCGTCGTCGTCCTCCTCCCGACTGCCGCCCATCTCATCGCTGAAGGCATTTGCGTTTTTCACTTTCAACAGCTGCGGCGGCAGTTCCAATCGATGGAAGACCACTCGGATATCGGTGGCCGTCACCCAATCTTGAAGGACCAGCGAGGAGTCCAGATCATTGGCCGACGGACGACCTTCCAGGGTGTTAAAGGCGAATCTCTGGGCTGCACCACCCGTATCATGCTGTGAATTGATGCAACGCGCCTCCTGCTCATTGAACTTGGAGATCTTGGCCCGATCCGGACGACCGTAGAACTTCTGGCACTGGGAGCTGTAGAACTGGAAGGGCTGCCAGGTCTGGCCGAAGTCGGAGCTCTTGAAGATGGCCAGCGAGTCGGGACGTGGCGAGCGGGGGCAGAAGGAGAGCGATATGTAGGTCAGCTCGTACTTCTTGCCCAGCGAGAGGGTCAAGGTGACATTGTCCGGCGGCGCAGTGTCCGGATCGTGGGGCACATTCACCGACCCCGATCGCCAGCAGGTCACATTGCTCGGATTATTGAGATCGGTGAGGGAAGAGGGACCATATCGCTGGGGTTCGCATGCTCGACACTCGCCGGCATTTCCATCGCGGAGGAGTTCGCAATACCGCTCCGGCTGTTGGGCGCCACATACGCTTGATGCCTGGACGGGATTACCATAGGCGGCGTTCACGAAACTTGGCAGGCACTTGCGCGGCTTGCCCTCGAAGTAGCAGGGATCGTTCGCCGATATGCCGGCGGCCCAGGTGGATCTGGATAAGGATCCGATGGCCACGGCCAGGATCACCGGCAGGAGCTGGAGCAGGCCCATCCTCACCCTGAATGGGAAATGGGTAGAACTTTATAGTCGACTGGCTGACTGGCGACTATCAACGCCCTGTAAGCTTCCCATATTCCCCATTTCTTGATAATGAATCTTATTACGGAACCCATTATTATAAAACACCAAAGCTAATTGGGCCATACAAACAAACATCTCACTTAAATATAAATATTTCAATCCAAAACTTTCAAAGAAGACCTCTAATTTATATGAATATGAACTCCTAACTGAAGTAACTTGAAAATTGCATCAATATTTAGCATATAACACCCCTTGAAATCTCATTGGAATGAAAATATATTATTTGAAAAAGATCCCAAGTCAGGTTAATGCTAATTGAAGACAATAATCACTTTGTATTCAGAACACTTTTCACTTTTAAATAGTATACAACTTTTGTAATCACCAGAGAAAACACTATCTGTTGATATGAATTAAAGAACCCCAACTGTTTTTGAAAAAATAAATCAGAAAGCTTGGACACTATAATAATGCTAGTTCCTTATTATTTCTGAATCACTATATGTTTATATGAACACCCCTAAGAGAATTCGTGTTTAAGAAACCCGAATGTATTTCCAAAATGAACTTGATCTACCACTTGAACTACCCATCAATATATGAGGGACTATCCCAAATTGTAATCAGAAAACACGGACATTTCCTATTTCACTTCCACAAATTATAGATGGGGAATATTCGAAGCTTATGGGATTCCAGTGGCAGTTGTTTACGTACATTGGCTCGAATGCGAAATACCTCGTTCTCGGGACTCGTCCCACAATCACTTTCTGTTCCACTGTTTCTTTGAGTGTATAGTTCTCTGGAAGAGAGCGTATATTGCTGTCTCGGTCACACACTCGAGAGGATCGCGTCGGGGTCACCAAACAAACAAACAACAAAAACAAGACGCGGCGACGGCACTCGCGGCGTCACTGAGTCTGCCACAACGGCATGCAACAGCTGCTCTAGGAGTTCCACCGATTCTCAGTCAATACGATACGATGCGATACACTCCTCTTGAAAAGCAATTCTCCAATCCAAATACCAAACCGAAACCGATTCTCCGGGCTGCGTTGCCACTCGGTCAACGGCCAGCGTGTTTCTGTTCGCCACGGCGACGTCCTCGCGCCAATTGCCCCCAAAAAGGTCCTGTTCTGATTCGACTCGTTTCGTTTCGTTTCGATTCGACTCGTTTCGTCTCGTCTCGTTTCGTTCCGAATCGTTTCTTCTTCGTCTCGAATCTCTCCTCTCGTCCTAACACACTGTGATAAATTCAACTCCTTGTCGCGGAGGCTGCTGCTCCTTCCTTGTCGCGCGCTCTATCTCCCTCTCACTCTCTCTCTCACTCGCACAGAAGAACAAGAAAAAAAAATAACAACGAAGGCCCGACGCGCACTTCGGTTGGTTTTGGTTTTGGTCTCGATTTCGATTTCGTACCGCCTCGAAATCGCCTCGAAATCGCTCGCTTGCGCCGCTCAAAAATGTGTTGTTACCTGGCAAACGGTTGGTCGAAAACTGATTGCATTTGGCTTGGGTTTTGGGTTTTGCTGTCAACGTCAACAGAGGCGCGAGAGAGCGGATGCTGCTCGGCAACATTTCGTGGCTCCAGCAACATTTTCATAGAACTGTTATTTATTTACTCAAGATGTTGGAGGTGCTAAAAGAAAGGCCTATAAATGGGTTAAAAAAATAAATATAATGAAATCTTTCTTAAAACATTTGTTTTGATAAATTGAAATGTATTTTGTTTTTAGCAAGACAAGTCTTTAATGTTTATTGCAGTGATGAAGATGCGATCAATACGATGATATTTAGTATGACATAGGCTTAGATCTTTGTTTATATTTTAAAACTATAAATCAAAATGTTAGTACTTAAAGTTATTTTTTATTACATTTCTGTATAAAAACATTTTTTTTCAAAACCAACATTAGAAATTATGTTAATTTGTTTTCATTTATTTATATTGAATATTAAAAAATATCATTGGATTAACGAAGCTTTATAATTGTAAGTTTAAAGTTAACCTTTGTTTAATTTACTTTCAAATTTTAAATCTCGGAGCCCATGTTGCTGGATGCTGTTCATGTTGCTTGGCGCTCTTCGCAACATTTGTTGCTGGCTCTCTCTCTACATTTTCGAAGTGATGTTGATAAGGGACTCAATAAATATGTCAAAAAAGGAAAGATCTTTGAACTCTTAATCTATAAGCTATTAAAAATGCTTTCAGTAATTGATAATAAATATATGTTTATCTAATATAAAAACAATTATTTTTCAATCATAGTTCTGGTCTTTAACGAAGTTATAGATAAAATAATAAAAAAAATATTTAATATATCTTTGATATTTTATATCTCTATATACCATGAGAATACTGAACATTTATACTCGAAAACAGCAATCCCATAATTTATAATTTGTGATTTCATACAGAGCTTATTAATTCCGTTTTGTGCTTTGTTCGATACTTTCCCTCTCGTAAGACATTTTGCGCACAATATCTGTCAGAAAATAAACGTACATACCTCACTCGATTTCAGGTCGCACCTTCCTCGCAACAAAGACACCGTTCTCAAAACTTCCGCTGTCATGATGCCGTTTCAAAATTCCACTCATTCACGAATGCTAATCGCCAGACACAGGAGATATGGGAGATATTTATGTACATATGGGAAATCGGAGTCGGATTCGGCTGGAGAAGACACAGCGACGCCTGCGCAACAGTTTTTGTTGGATGTCTTCTTCCTGAAAAAAAGCGACTCTTAATGCTCGGAGCTTGCCCAGTGGCATGCCCCATCGAGCGATTTGTAAAGAGGGCCTCGAGAGCCGCCCGTCGAAAGGGAACGTGCCAGTAGAAATCTTCGCCGGTCTCTGAGACAGGGCTTCCGTTCCGTATCGTCCAGTCAAAAAAAACATTTTTACCTAGATTTATATATTGCTTTGATTAATCCTAGCTCCTAGTTATACATTTCTTTTTAAATTTAAGTCCCTACTAGGCATGTATAACCTTTAGAAAAAGTATAGATCTACAACCAATTATAACGTTATACTTCATTAATATGATATAGGTAAGTATTTTTTTAAGTTTTGTCAATGGAACAGCAATAATAGTAATTATAAAGGTTAAATCTATCATTTTTATGATAAAAGTAATTTCTGAATACCACTATCTGTTCCGGGAATATATGATATACAGTTTTTTAAAAGAGTTCTAGGACTTTATTGCAAACCAGATCGCTTACCAAATCAGATATATAAAATTTGTCATTAAAACGATTATATTTATGATGATATATCACACCCTAGAGTTAAAATTAATATGAAATTAGAGTAGTTTCGAGAGGTAAATGATAAAATTACCATTAATTTCTGTGTGTGCACTTCCTCTGCTCGGCTGCTTTATTTTTGATTTATTGTTTTTGACATCTCTTCGTTTTCGTCGTCTTTTAGGCTCCTATTTCTGCGTTTCTCGAGGATGGAGAGTTCCCGGGCTTGAAATCGAGTTTGGGTTTGGGTTTGCGTTTCAAGTGCTTCAAGACTCGGAGCTGGAAATCTTTCGTTATGTTTTATTTATAACGGATTTGTTTCTGCCGCCACTTTTGGCTTTCCGTCGTCATTGTTTGTAAATATTTATGCCATGTGTGTGTGTGGTGGGTTTGGCTGTGGACCCTTCCTCGAGACTCCTTTTTTGACCTGCTTGGGACCCGGTTTTCCCCGCCCCCCTTCTTGATTTGGGTCCATTTCGCTAATTCCGGGGCTGGCCTTAATGGAATTTAAATTTCATTGGGTTCCTCGCCTAGGAAACCGCAGCGAGATATGATTTGCTTTTCCCTATTGAGGAAAACTTTCGGTCGATTTCACTCTGCCCGGAGCTCTCTCAGCCATATAAAAACAAAGTGAACCGCAGTTCCAGCTTTTGGCCAGGCTCAAGTCTTAGGCACTCAAAAAAAATCTACAAATTACAAAGGAAAGATAAATAAAAACCGAGAATCAATATGGAAAAAAAATAAAATAAAGTCCATTTAATATATTTCGAAGACCTTTTAATTTGTATTTATATCATCGAAATAAAGATTTTTTTTTAAGCAGGAATAGGACAAATAAATTAAAATGTTCATAATTTTTAAGGAAAATAAATGCTTTAAAATTTGATAGTACCTTTTAATAAAGTACATTTTTGTTATATTATTTTTATAATTATTATACATTTTTTTTTAAATTTTAAACAAGCAACATCATTTTCTCTCTGTGCACCGAAAAGTGCGGAACGTGTAATTATGACGCCTCCTCGCACTTGGCCGAGCAAAATGTAAATGGCCAGCACCTGATCATTACGATCATTATAGAGCTCAGTTGGCTGAGTTGCTCCAGATGAGGCCGCTGATGAAAATGATGATGATGATGACGACGGCGATGAAGCCGCTGGTCAACGCCTTTCATTTGGGGCGTGGAAATGGAGCGTACGCCCGGCCAAATTTGTCCCACGATCACGATATTTTCCGGCCACTTTAAAAATGGTTTGTTTCAATAATAAAGTCTAGTAAAGTGAGGAAATAAGAGGAGGAATGTGTGAGCAAAAGCTACAAGACTTAAATTAATGCAAGTGAATTTACTAATAATAATCCATAGAATATAAAATTAATTTATAAAGATGGTTTCAAATCATTTTAGTCCTAAGGGAAATATTAATATATTTGCGAAGAAGGGAATATTTAGAAAATTTATAAAAGCTTTTAAAACTTACAACATATAACAATCCATCTCAATCCATTGATTAAAATGTATTTATGACTCTGGCATAATAGAAAATAGTTTTTGGTTCTTACCTTTTTCTCAATCCTTTTATACAAATTTGTTTGCCTATGTCTTAAATTTTCAATTAATTTTCCAAAATGGCTTGGCCCTCTGCTGCCAAAATGTTTGCTGGAATATTAGTTATTTTTCGGTTTCCTGCTGCTTGTGGTTGTTTATATATATTTCTAATGAGCCTTTCCCCAGCATCCGAGTGCGTTTGTATGTATTTTTTTCATTTAAATGATTTATTTATTTTTGCTCAAGCTTTTGGCCTGTCCGCCGCAACACACATCCCTTAGACCCTGGATTGACTTCTACATGGAGAGAAAATTCGGTAGATGAAACTGTGTTATTCATGCGAAAATTTTAGATGAAGATGTTCTATTAAGGTCCTTACAGAGAGAAAAATTAAAAGATGTTGACCTAATAAAGGAGGGTATATGCATGTACTAAACCTAAACTAAAGATTCAGCTTACAAAATTTCTAAAAATATTTATTTAAAAATTGCTAATTGATCTCCAAATTGTTAGTAATTTATGTGTATTAAATTGTCAGAAATAGAGGTATTTTTATATTTAATTTTAAAGTTGAATATATTAATATGTATTTATGTATGTGTATGTATATACAATATGTTTTTAATTTTAAAAACCAAGTAAAATATTCTATTAAAAACAGCGGTAATAAATGATGTTGTCAAAATAGTAAAAGTTAAATCTATATAATTTATATGTAACTTTTAGTTGATTTCCGAAGGCATAGAACCAAACTTCTTTAGAAAACTGTTTATGATATTTCTTAATTTTTGTAGTACACTTTTAAGTAATTATTTATAGTTATACTTTACTATTATTATTAAAATGTATTATTATATTAATTAATTTATTATTTTTTCCAGTGTTCTTTCCAGACACTCCCTTACATCTTGGCCCCACATTGTTGTGGTTTGGCTACGCTGCTCTGGCTGCTGGTGTTTCGGCTGTAATTGTTGCTGGGAAATTGCTTCTGGCATTTGATTTGTACATCATTTTTAACGAAGCATAAAGTTTTCTATATAACCGATGTTTCGGCCAGGAAGAACAGGACGAATCCGGGTGGAAGGAGGTCGGAGGTCATGCCAGAACAGACAGACAGACAGACAGACAGAAACACATCCTTGCTGCTGAAGCTCTTGACTCTGTGGCTGCTGCCCCTCGAACTTGGCCTCTCCACTCCCCTCCTCACAAAAACCCGGGTTAATAAACAAAAAACGTGGCATGCAGATATATTATTATTATTATTTTTGCACTTTCCACTGCACAACAGTCCTCTGTTCCTGACAGAAAAATTAAATAGGCATTTGGAAACATTAAATCAACCAATTAGGAAATTACAATGCGGAAAACGGAAAATAAGGAAAGCAATTGGGGGTAGAAAGGAAAGTGGGAAAATGGTGTAATGTGTAATGGTGTTTTTTTTAATTCATTTTTATTAAGCTGACTAGAATTAAATATGTAAATTCTTTAAATTTTATATATTATTATATTACCTATGTAGATATTAGTAGGCCCCTTAATAGACCATCTTATACACCATTCTACCCAAACATTATATACCATTTCCACATGTCTCGCAACCATTTAGTTCCCATCGATCTACCCAATTGTGCGGCATTTTGAAACCAAACGAACCGAGAACGAACAGAACTCAGCGGAAGATTT